TTTTCCTCTCCAGAGGAGACACATCTCTGAAGGGTCTTCTGGAGAAGCCCAAATGCCACAGCACACCCACACTGCCCAGAGCAGGACAGACCTGGGGTGAGCCCTGTCACCCCAAGGCACACATTCCACATACAGAGGATGACTAGAGAGGAAGTGATGAGGCAGCAGTGCCTGGCTTACCTCCTGATGCATGGATAATGTAAAGTGAAAATTCGTGGGGGCTGTTTTCTATCTGTGAACAAAAGAAAATCCATTCAGACTCAGACCTTCCCAGCATCTCAGCAGATGTTCCCTGAAGTCTCAGCTCAGATTTGGATGGAAGTCTGAGACAGGGATCCTGTCTGTGGAGCAGGTAAGGGATGCTGGTTGTGGAGAGGATAGAAAGCTATGCTGCTGTCTTCATTGTCCCCATGCCAACCCTAACCCTTACGTTCCCATATGGCCCAAATCAGGAACACACTGTCTTGGACAACCCTGGATCTTTCCTGTCTGGTTTCCTTGGAGCATCCTTAACTACATAATACAACTTCCTTTTCAGCTGACACACGTTTGCTATTTGCATTATTTGTAGTGATCCACCCACTTGCCTGACAGCCACATTCAGAAAACAGCAGAGGTTTTCAACACTTGCTTGGCAACTTATTCCCTACAACTTTACACCCTGCTCTGTAATTCCACTTCCTTATTATGTCTAGAAGTCAAGTTTTCCTTTTAGTATTACACTCCCAAGTCTCACTAATCACATGAAGAAATTCTGCAATAGCAAAGTTTCTAAACAAGCTAAATGGGAAGTTTATGATAATTAAAGCAGAATTTATGCACTAAAAGACTATGTAGAATAAAGATATTGGAGAAACAGAGCTCCAATGGGAAAGCTACTTCTGACCAGGTATAATCATGTTGGTGGGAGAGAGTTCCAAAGAAATTCCAAGGCAAAACCAAGTCGTTTCAGACAGTCCTGCACTGACCCTGAGCAGCAGTTTTAACTGACTGGCTGGAGCTCTGGCTGTGCCTGGCTCTAGCCCGTTCCCTGCCGGGGATGTTTGCTGTGAAGCAAACACATCCCCGGGGCTGTGCACAGGAGGGCCTCTAGCCCGTGCCGGGCGCGGGATGAACTCGCAGTGAAGCAAACATCCCCGGGGCTGTGCACAGGAGGGCAGCGCTGCCACGGCTCTGCGGGCTGGGAGCGCTGGAGCATCGCGGGAAGCGAGAGAAGCGGCTCTGCAGCTCTCCCTGTACCACGCACACAGTTACACCCTGTGTCACTTTGTAGATTCCAACGGCCGTGAAACATTTGTGCCGGGCGCGGGATGAACTCGCAGTGAAGCAAACATCCCCGGGGCTGTGCACAGGAGGGCAGCGCTGCCACGGCTCTGCGGGCTGGGAGCGCTGGAGCATCGCGGGAAGCGAGAGAAGCGGCTCTGCAGCTCTCCCTGTACCACGCACACAGTTACACCCTGTGTCACTTTGTAGATTCCAACGGCCGTGAAACATTTGGAAAATAAACCCAAGCCATGCCTTCAAAATGACCTGTGTGGTTTTTCTGTGCTCCATTCTATGCACTATCCCCTCCCAGTCATTCCCTGCCTTTCCCCCAGCACTGGAGTGCACCCTGGAATGGGCATTTCCAGCACACAGCTACCCTCGCTGCTGTCAGCACACGGCCTTACCTTGAACTTGCGAAGCAGCTGCTCTATCACTTGTCTGGTTCTCATCTGGCTGTTGATCCTGATCTTGGTTTCTGATCCAAAAGCTGGAGTGAAAACCGATGTCTGGGAACAACAGCAGCAGCACAAGGGTGTGAGCATGGGGCCTGCTGCCCAGAGGTCTCTCCCAGGGCCCACCCTCAGGTCCAAGCATTCCTACCTCGTGGTTGTAGAAGTGGCCATTGATGGAGAACCTGTGAGTCTCCACTTCTGCCCTGGCAGCGGTGGAGATCTTCGTCCTCCTGCGCACTGCCGCGGCATCGCTGCTGGTCCGGGGCAGGACGGCACAGTCGTGGTCCTGCTCACTCCTGGACTTCAGCGTGTGGCTCTCATAGCATGGATAGCCTGGACAAGATGAACCACATCAGCACTGTGTGCAGCTGCTAGGAGACCCACAGGAAGGAGCCTTGTGGAGAAGGGATTACTTTTAATCCCCATTTTTTGGGTGGGTATGGGGAACAGGAGAAGAGCAAGGCACGGACATACAATGAAGAGGAACAGGCTGGCTACAGTAGCTACGGTTTTCTATTCTGTTTCCTTGGGAATGACCTCATGAGAGAAAGCTCAACCATTAGCAGTGGCTGTTCAGAAAGTTATTTGCACAGCCACGTTAGCACTGACCACCCCTGGGACAGTGTTTCTCCAGCTTGTTACACGTTACACAGAGCAACAAGATTGCCCTTCACTGGTAGGGAAGGCCTAATAGGTCAGGCTGGCTTTGCACAGCCACAGAACAAACAATTTGTCGCGAATATAACAGCACTAACTTGGCTCAAGGTCTGGCTGCACCTCAGTAGACTTCAGTGTCTCTCCACTGATGTGATAGAGGTCATCAAATTCTCCCCAGCGGGTCATTCCCCTGAAAGACCAAACATACATTTACCATTGCTTACTCCTCATTAACTCAGATTTCAGTTTATTCTCTGGCCTGGCTTTATGTAATACCTTCCCGTCCCTGCTCAAAGCTTTATAGAACAGTGCCACAGACCACAGCAGGGTAATTTATGCCATAATGAAATCAGTTATTAAAGCATGGTATGAATAGGGATCCTAAAAATAACACCTTGTTTAGATCTTGTTGAATATGGACCATTGCATCCCTTAAATAACTTGCAGTAATTATCTGTTTTGCAGCAATGCCCTGGATTAATCACAATAGGGTACCAGGCAGGCACACAGAACACACAGATTGTGGTTTAGTCACAGGACACGTGTCTGCTGTAAAGATGGAGACATGAAAGACTAAATGACATACCAGCCCCTTGTGCTACCCAGTTCTGTGTGAGAGCAGGGAACTCCATCCAGCCTCTTAGAGAAACTAACTTTCTTACTGCAAATATTGACATCACTCATTGCCTAAACTCCCCAGCAGAAAGTCCTTGGCCAATCTGTAGGACAGTATTAAAAATTTCCTGTATGTATGTTCCAAACAATATTAGGCACCAAACTCCTATCTTGGTTGTGTTCCACTCACTTACCAGGTTCACTTAAGATCAAACAGCCAAGCTGCTCTGCATACCTTAGAGCATGTCAGGGCAGCCCCACATTTCTGGGACCCTGAGTTAATGTTTACTTTAAGATTCAGATCTTCACCAGCCTTAAGTTTCTTAAGAATTAAAAGGCAAAATACAACTTCAGCTGCCAGCCTGGACCCTGTCCTGCAGGTCACATGCACCCCACAGCAGCAGGCCTGGTCAAGGCAAGCAGAGAGCCAGATCTGCCTAAAGCTCAGGTTTCTTCCCTGCTTACTCCTGTCAGGTTGCATCCCTGAATTTCAACAGCCAGACAGGGAGAAAAGTGTCCTTGACTTGATGGGAACTCCACAGCTGCAAGGATAGTACAATCAAATCCACAGCTCCAACATGTACCGTGTGCCATCTAAGACAACGGGTAATTAGGAACAGAAGCTCTACAACACAGAATTTATCAGGGAGTCATTGAGGGTAAACATTGGCTCTGCCTCTCTGTGGCACATTACTCAGCTTCAGCACAGCAAATTCACCCACCAACGCTGGGGAAATAGTGTTCAAAAGAAAGGAAAAGTACACTGAGAGCCTACAGCACACTGGGGTACAAAGTGTCCTCAGCAGCAGCCTGGAGCAGCATCTGTGGCATTTCAAGGGGTTTTACACTAGATTTTACACAGACAAAGCCAGTGTTTGCTCCCTGGTGTGTGCCTCACCAGAGCAGCAATGGTTTCACTCCTGAAGTACCTGGGACGGTAAGCTGTGACAGACAATGCCTCAGCACTTTCCTACCAGCTTCTGGCTGTGTGCTGTTGAGGTCTTTGGGGGTTACCAATATTGCATGTATATAGACATGTGGGATTTGGGTTGTTTTGGGTTTTGTATGCTTTTATATACATCCATTTCCCAGCACTTGCATTAGAATAGTCAATTCTTATGAACAAGAACAGCTCCTCCAGCTCCTCAGCCTGAGAGGCAGACAAAGATGCTACAGAAACACATTTTCCTGCCTGGCACAAGCTGTTGAAAGCTCACACCAGTCATGGAGCATCAACCACCACAGTCTTTGGGGAATCTGGGATACACAGCCAGCTGTATCCATTGAAGCCACAACAGGAGCTGTCTTGCTCTGTCAGCCTGCCTCCTCCTCAGGGAAGCTCATACCTTTTATTAGGGAACAAGTCCACGTTCTCTGTTGACTTCAGGGTGACAAATGATGGTATCAGCTTCTCATCCTGAATTTTCAATCGGATAGGATGTCTCACTCCCCAAAATATGGACAGGATTCCCTCAATAAATGGTGTGCTTCCTTCTCTCTGGAGAAAAAAAGGCAATCATGAGTGCTGCATGATGACTGAGTAAAAATAATCAAGCAAGAATAGTTGCTTTCCCCTCACAGTAACAGCAATAGGGTGAAATCACCGAGGCTGAGACAGCCCTGGAAGAGGGTACCCAGAGGGGCTGTGTAACCCCAGTTCTGAGGCATGGCCAAAACAGCCAAAGCTGCAGCTGACCTGATCGGTCCAGGAAACCTGTTCCAGTTTATTATATCAGATGGAACATGTCATGCAATAAAAACATCACAGCAAGTGCTGGAATTCAGTGCTGTGAGGAGGAGAGAACAGAGAAGGCCATGTCCAGATTAGCAGGAGATTCTTTCACCTAAACCCTTACCTGTTTATATGTCACTTGCAGATTCTCTTGATCTGAATAGTAAGAGTTGTAGGTCTTCAGAAGGGAACTGAGCTGCTCTCTAGAACAAGGATCACAATGGAAGGATCAGTACTACCACTGTAAAATGCAGGTGCTGAGTGGCAGGGTGACACCCTGTGCTACCCACTGCTTGTATACAGGGTTGTTAATGGTCAATACAGCATGTTCAGAGACTCACTTTGTCATGCTGCTGGGTTGCTGCTAAGTGGCTTATTTAGAGACCTGATACACAGAGGAAATTAGTCACAATATGATGCGACCTCAATAACACTGGCCCAGAATAACTTGTACTTTGGACCTGTGTAGCAGTCAAGAGGAGGAAGCAAACAGCAACAACACCCCCACCACAGTGTTGCAGGTTAATATTTTAATTAAGTTACAGTTGGTTTTTCCTGCCTGGTGGTTTCCATTAGGGTTTTCTATTTTTTCAGGTATTTTGGAAATAAGAGCACTTAACATTTCTATTTCCTCCTGCTTGAAACATAACAGCTCTGCACTAAGTCTTTGCTAGGCGTAGAAAGAATGGAGCTGAAGAGAACCTGTGCCAACAAGGAGTCAGAGAGACAAAAAGGCAGACTCAGCTCAGGCTAAGGAGGGATGAGGAACACAAGAAATAAGTGGTATGTATTTCACGGCCATCAAGAATGACACACTCTTCCCCATGCCACTTGCAGATTACTTAGATTCTAATTCAAGGAAGCAATTTCCACAGCAGAGGTAACTAAGCATGGCAAACAATTGCATGGAAGTGTACAGATTCCTCTTTATGGGGACTACCTTGAACCACCAACTGAAATGACTAATGATCACAATGGTTTAATGTCCTGCCTTGCAGCAGTGAGCCAAGACACCAAGTCTGTCTCCAAACAGTGCCTGTTACTTCTGTGTCTGTGCCTGGTGTGAGCTGTCAGAACAGCAGGAGCACCGGGCACAGACACAGCAGTGACAAAGTCTTCAGACCACAAGTTGCACCGCGACCTGCTGAAGCCCTTCAGGGCCCATGGACGCAAAGTCTTCAGACCACAAGTTGCACAGAGATCTGCTGAAGCCCTTCAGGGCCCATGGACAACCAGCAGCACTTTTAGAACTCCTCCACCAATTTTAAGTGAAAGAAGAGCCCCAGAGGGCCTGACAGCCCAACAGGAGCACAGCCTTCTACACTGCAGAGGGAAGCAGGAACAACCTGGAGCCCAGTTACTATACATGTGCTGTGCTTGGGGCAGAGGGGTACATGGAATATGCCTGTGAAGAGCTTCTCCTGGCAGGCCTATCCCTCCCTTCTCCACCTAACAAATGCTCATGGCCGTGTCCTGTTCCATGGTGAGCTTTCCCCGTGGTGAGAAGGCAGAAGATGAACAGAGTTTTTGCCTGGCAGGCAACATTAGGACTAGGGCTGCACCACTAACCTCAAGGTTCACTGCATTCCCTGCTACCACTATGGGTGTAAATTATTTACTTTAAATGGCTGCAATTCCACACAAGAAATATTTTAAACTAGTTTTACAAAGTGCTGAGCTCCAACCCAGCATTTTCAGTTACTTCAGCTCACCTTGGTCTTACATACAGGGAACACAGATGGCAAAACCCTTTCTTTCCATAGTGTTAGAATAGCTCATTGTAGGTCCTTCGTGTATTGTGAACTACAAGGGAGTCGATTCAGGTCAATCCCCCAGAAGGGAAAGTAAAAGGGCTTGGCTATGGACCAGCTACAAGCCCAGTGCTGATCATGCTAGCTACAGGGAAGCAAGATTAAGCACATCTTGACCTCATACACAGCAAACTCAGATGCAACGCGAGACTAACGTGCAGGTGGGAGACAGGCAGTTGTGTCTGGCAGGTGGTATGACAGACCTGCTGATCCTGCTCCTGAGGTGCTGCCAACTCAAGCCTTCTTATATTTCACAGCCTAACACCTTTGGCAGTTGTTTTATTGGCAACTGTTATTTCACAAGGTTGTTTCAAGTAGGAAGGGACAGGAGGGACATGAGTTCCCTGAAGATGCACTAGGAGCATGTGAGGATTTGGGTCACACTCTCAGGCTCACCTATTTCTCTTAGTCCCTGTTGAGTGCAAAGGCAACTAAAACCACAGGCTGACAGCAGTAAGTAGTGTGGTAAGGGTCATCTCTGAGGCAGATTCTGTTTCTCAGAGCAAGCTCTCTGGATTTTCAGTTTCTTGCCTTGTCTAGAAAACCTTGCCATTACCTTCCTATGTTTGCATACACAGACCTGTCAGATTTCAGTTTTTCATTAGTGCAACCAACAGTGACAAAACACACAAGCCATTAGCAAAGCCCTGGGGGAAGAGATCTAACAGCAGCTCACACTGACCTGTTTGTCCTCATGTAGAGACAAAGAAAACATTTTCCTTCTTTTTGTCCCAAAAAGGAGTAAAACATGCAGCACCCTAGTTACAGAATGAGGCTTACTGTAACACATCCCTATGAAGGCTCAAAGACTGCCCTAAGCTGGGGGCAGGTGACACCTCTGCTGAGTTTGGCAGCCAGAAAATCAGCAGCTGCTGTGTTGCAAGTCTGTTCTCCACGGTAGCTTCATGACAACAACCAAACAGCCACTAATGGAAAGCAAAGCCAAGGAACTGGTAAAACAACTCACCCCAAAAATCATACATTTACTGGAGATTCACCACTTTATGCAGCAGCAAAAGCAGGATCCAAGGGAACTGCAAGGTCAGGTGCCCCAGTGGTAAACCACAACAGAGCCCAGACTGCTCTCCTGAAACACTCACCCAGGGCAGCTCACCCGTGCCCTCTTCTCCCCCAAGCCCTACACATTTATCCATGAATATTTATGGCAGTTGTGCTAGAGACACAGCAGTTCAGCCAGCCAAATCATCCCACATGCTTTGGTCAGCCTTTTGATTCAGCCATTGTGCAATTCCCAAACAGCAGGCTTGCCCCATCAGCAGGATTTGCAGGATGCAACTGGGAGAGGAGTAATGTAACAGCAGACTCAAGGTAGAGATGAGGCATGATAGACTGGAAATTGCATTGGAAACAAGCCTGAGTGCACAGGGAACGTCAGTGGTTCTTGAAACACTTACTTGCTTTTTTCTCAAGACAAAGAAACTTCAAACCATGACTGTGGTACAGAAAGGTCTCCACCAGGATCCACATTTCACCCCTTAAATGGGCAAGTATATAGGGGAAAAAAAAGCCCCAGAGACACTGGTTTGTCTGGTACGTTTCCAAATGCTTTTGGATGCCAAGTGTACAGGAGCTTGCTCAGACTAATTACCTCTGACACAGAAGCATTACATCCCAAATTAGCAGCAGCACAGAAAGGAACAACTCTTGAGGAGAAAGGGGGGATTTATTTATTGCTTGTGTGCTCTGGGAAAAGCCCTGACTGACTTCCTCAAAAAAAGGAGAAATCAACAGCATTGCTCATGCCACATGGAAAAGTAGCAGATTCGGGAGCAAATACCTATTGCAGCAAGAGAAATTCCATTCCAGGCCCCATCCCTGGGTGAGTTTACAGGTAGCTTCTTCCCACAGGAACAGCAAGAGGAATGGAAATGAAATGAGAAGAGAAGCTCCTCTTCCAGCTCCTGTGCTCTTGTTCACAAGGGAAAACTGATCCCCTATGAAGGGGATGGAGCTAAACATCAGGTGGCTCTGAGTATGGGGCAGCATTAGCTAAAATTCCTACCAGCCAGACTGAACTGTGGAACAGCATCCCACAAAGTACAGTTTGAGTGAAATTCCAGGCTTTTTACAAGTAGGTTAAAGAGCCACTTTCAGTGACCACAGCACAGGGCTGCACAGAAACCCTGTGCTCCAGGGCTGCAGGCCAAACACCAAGCCACAGACAAACAGAGCTCAAGTTCAAGTCTGGAGCTCATGTTCACTTCCAATATGTTTCTAAAGCAGGAAGGTCTTCTCTAACTTGGAATTTTATTTCAGAATCCTCTGGAAGGGCTGTTCTCCGTAATGCACTAAAACCACAGATCCAAAGGTTTAATGCTCTGCTCTTTGAATTCCATGTGAAGGCCAACTCTGTTCTGCACACAGGTCAAGTAAACTAAGTTGCAGGAATTGCTATTGCTACAGGCTCAGCTGTTAACGATCCCCTGTTAAGGAATGAATGTGTAACTTGAAAGAAAGCAGCAAAGTCATTAAATGCTTGAGTTTTTAATAATTTACCTGGTTATGAACTTGTCCTCATTGATGAAAACAGAAGGCAGGTGCTGTGCTTTCATAGTCACTTTCTTCATTTACTCAGAACAGAAGCTGAATCTAAACAAGAGGTTGAAAAAATAAATGTATCCACTAAGGCCACAACAAAAGATCAAGTAGTTACAAGGACAAAGCTTTAGCTGGCCAAATGTAACAGGCTGGAACACTCAAGCTGAGGACTCACTATGCCATATTTTGACTGCTTTGTGCTTGGCCTTAATAGCCAATTTTTCCCCTCTCCTAGTAAAAACCCCATAAGCCATTCCCATAAAGTATATCCCAGTACCTTAAATCCCAAGTACTACATATATGAGGACTTTCTCAAGCAGTTTTAGGACCACTCCAACTCCCTGACCACGCTTAACATGTGGGTCAGTAACCTGAGGGAGCAGCCCATCTATGGGTTGGGATTCAGCTGCTCATGATGGCTAGAGCATCGCCCAGGGTCACCGAAACACGCGTGACTCAGGAACCCACCCTGAACCAGGCTCCTCAAACTGGCAGGAGAAGCAGTGCTGATCATTAGCTGTGTCCTGCAGCACCCTGAGGAAGCAGCTGGGGTTTTAGGGAGTGAGCAAAGCTGTAATTACAGGGATGTAGCAACACAACTCCCAGGTTTGCACACTGATTCCAGCTCATGGTGCAGGCAACGAGCCAAGGCCCACGAGACTCCAACAACGCATTCTGCAATTATTAATTATGGAGTCTTGGCTCTTTCCTTCCCCCTCAGGTACTAGAAGCAAAGAAGAGTGAGGAGAGGAACTGAACAGACCCAGAGGCCTGAGACTGACAACTGACACTGGAAAAAGCTCTGTCTCAGCCTGAGGAGTGGCATTACACACATGTGGGGGCAAAAACAAATCCCATGGAAGGCAGTGAAACCTTCCAAGTCTGCAGTGGGTAATTACACTTATTTCTCTTATTTGGGCACAATGACAGAGGAATTTGCCAAACAGCACTTGATGTCCATTCTCCTCTATGCCAGGAGATTGACCTGAGTCTGATTTCAGACTGCATTGGACAGAGCCTGATCAAAAATGTCTGCAAAGTAGTTGATTTTCTATAGTACTGTGTACTATAGTAGCCCTCAGAAAACCAATTTAGGGAACACCCAAGCTTGAACTCATCATGGCTGGGTAAAGAGTAAGCACCTCACTTCTGTGCATGTGATCCTGCACTCCTGAGCTGCTGCTTAGAAGTCCAAGTTACCAAAATCAGATGGACAATGATATGTGGACAAATGAGAAGTTTCACATATAAAACCCATGATCTTCACCCTACAGAACACACAGGAAGTTGTTTCATAACCTCCAAAACCAGAGTGCACTGCCAAAATGATCTCAACCTGAGCAGCTGTGGTTTCTAACAGCTCCACCAGTAGCTCAGTGAGAACAGCACTCCCTTTGTCCTTTGGGTGACATCCATCAAGACAAAAACATAGGTGAAAGCCAAAGAAGCCCAGGGACTGCTGTACAGACATGAGCTGGTGTGTGAGGAATACATTGCTGTACGCCAGTGCTGGGTTTTTGCCTCTGAAATGAGTTCAGTAACCATTGGCCACACCTTGAAACCCGATTTTATGTGATTTACTAATACCTCCAACTGAAGCAGCTGCCTATGCCAGTATAATTTCCAGCCAATTTTACAAGATGCAGAGGAGTTTATGTGCATTTGCACCTGGATAACTGAATAACCTGAGTAACACTTAAGCTTCCTCACATCGCTCAGGAAACAACATGTTAAGAGCAGCAGATAGTCAAGTCACCTCTATCAGACATTGAGCAGTGATGCTGGCAAGCTCCAGCACCACCTGAGTGCCGGTGGCTGCATTCTCGTCCGCAGAACTTGACCTTAAAATGATTCACCTTTGAGTGCCGGTGGCTGCATTCTCTTCCACAGAAGAGAATTTTGACAGAAGGATAAAAAGGGGCA